ACTTTAAAAATTTTACATTATTTTTAAACTCCTAATATTTATGAAGATACCCATTTTTTCAGAAATTTTCTAAAATAGGATTTTCTTGAATTGAAAGTTTTTAGAAAATAGAATAATCTTAAATTTGGAAAGTTCTAAAATATCGTTTTTCATCTAGTTAATTTGAATAACGCGCAATCAAAAGGCTTCCGATGAGGAGGGGGTCACAAGAAGACCACTTAAATACCAAACTCTTCTTAGACAGTTTAGGTCTTTTTAACAGAGATTTTCAATCTTGCAAATACTCAAATCAAGAAAACTGAAATAATAAATAAAACTTGAGACTTTGTAAAATATAAACCTTAAAACATCATTAATATCAATCATTTAAAAGAAAAGAAAATAAATCTGTAATTTTTTTAACAATAAAGTCAATGTTCATGTCAACAGTGATGCACGCTATTAGATACTATTCACATGAATAGTACTGACAATGTTCACGTGAATAGTGCACGTAAATCTTTTTTTAAAATCTATAGGACTGTAGAATATTTGCTCTGATACCAAATTGTAACACCTCAAAATTTCATAAACACTTAGTGTTACAAAAAATTCAGTTTTCTTTGTATCAAAGGCGGATCGACAAATTAATATTCGTTAATAAAAATATAATTGGAATATCAAATTGTATCATTCAGAAAATAACATAATAACTAATTAAATAACGTGTCTTTGAACAATTAAAACTAACTACTAAATTAAAGGAAAAAACTTAATATTTTTATTTTTTCAATTTCTCCGACAGTCCGCATCATCATCCCAATAGACCCGAACTAACTTTTAAAATTTTGTAAAAGTGAGTATTTAAAAATACCTAGTAAGATACATACAGTTCCCATACACAAATATATAACAATAAAATAAACATTTCATACCACTATTCTCTTATGGAGTATATGGGTGACCAAGCGACAAACTCATCTTACGTCATCTTAAATTCCAGTAAGATCTCTTATCTCTTAATAAAGAACTCAAAGGTCCACTAGCAATTCATGCATAAATTATTGAATATAAAAGTATAAGGAAACAAATCACTTGAATAAGAGTATCTTACCTTGATTTTGAAAGGTTGGAAAGAATAAAATCTTGCACGTAAAAGATTTTCTATTTTTGTATACTTTTTCCTCTCCTTCTCTCTCTATCGCAGCTATCTTTATTTTATGTGATGAAATAATGAGAATTCCTATAGTATTTATAGTTGAAATTCTCAATTGGGTTTGTATACAACTAGAATTTGAAACGATGTATAAAAGGAATTTGGATAAGGATTGATTTCAAATAATAGAATTATGATTACTTTTAAACTTTATCAAATTAAGATTGCAATCAAACTCTATCCAAATCACAAAAAAATATTATCATTATCAAAATCAACTTTTATCACTATATCGATATATAATTATTTGGCTCAAATAAGATAGGAATTTAAAACCTATTTCATTGTAATCCTCTTTTGTTTTTCAAAATATTAAAAATATACTATATAAAACAAATAAAATTTTATTCTAAAATTTTCGGGACGTTACAGTAGCTGCATGTTTTATGTAAGTGCTTTACCATTCAACTTTGCAAAATCTCCCTACTTCAAACAGTTCTCAAGAACCTTAGCCAATAGCAACGTGGAAAATTACACTTCTCCTTCATGTATCAGATTGTGTACTACATTGCTTGCCTAAGAAAATGAGCATATTAACAGAAAACTTCAACCCATAAGAGACTCATGGAGGAAAAGAGGGGTATTGATAATTTCTAATGGATGGTTAGATAGGCAAAAGAGACCTCTTATAAATATTACGGCTACTTCTACTGGAGGAGCAATGTTTATTCAGTCAATTGATGCAACTGAAAATATAAAAGATAGTGATTATGTTGAAACATTGTTTCTAAATGCAATCAAGGAAACTAGAGAAGAAAATGTTGTTCAAATTGTTGCATACAACTACAAAGGTACTGGTTTAAGCATCGAATCTTGGTATCCTCATATCATTTGGACTCTTGTGTGGTACATAGTTTGAATTTGGCTTTAGAATGTATTTGTGATCCTTCTGAAAATCTAATTAATATGCAAATTGTAAATGGATTGCTGATTTGGTGAGTGATGTACGAGTTATTCATAATTTT